GTCAGCTCTCTCTCCATGATACCACAATACTCTCACGAATGTGTATGTATACACAGACACACGTATGTTATCATTTTAGGATCAAAGCTCTAGAACTGAGAGGTATTTCAAAAGACATCAAGTCAGGGCAGCTAGGTGGTGCAGGGGATAAGCTCCAGCCTTAGATTCAGGAGGACCTGAGTTCACATCTGGCCTCAGACACATAACACTTACTAGCTGTGTGACCCCTGGCAAGTCACTTAACCCCATTGCCTAGCCAAAAAAAAAAAAAAAAGACATCAAGTCCAACCCTTTTATTTTACAGATAAAGGACCTGAGGTCCATGGAAGCAAAATGTCTTGCTCAAGGTCAGACAGGAAATAAACATCAGGGAAGGATTTAAACCCAGGTCCTGTATACCATGCTATCTCCATAATTATTATAAGATTTCTAAGTTGTCACTATTTCACCAGGATAAGAAAAACAAAAGCAAATTAAGAGATGTTGTATTAATGCAAATCAGGAAGCTAAATACTATAGTCCTGACTACAAAAGGACCAATAATCTAATCATTTTTAGTTATTATGAAAAGGGTGTTATATAAACGCAAAGTAATAAAAGTGTCTTCGCCAAGATTCCTACTTATTCAGAGCAGACATTTAAATATTTGAATGTTAACTACAGTTTCACATAATTTTTAAAAATGTTCTCCCAAATGGTACATTTTCTGAATTGCAAACCAAAATGACCTCCATGATTTAAACTATAGTCACATATTTTTGAAAGTGTTAATATAATCAGTGGTTTTAAAATTCAAGAGACATTTAACCTACTGAAGATTAAATCTATTAAAACAAATCTTTCACTATTTAAGAATTTTCTAAAATCAAATACTGAAAGAGGGGAGCCAATGTGTTGGGTTTGAAATATTTTTGATGCATAGTGGCTTTTACTGTAATGGTAACTAATATATATTTTTCTCTCTTTGATTTAGATGAGAAGTCAGGGTCTGGGAAGGTTGGTTTAGAGTATGAAAAGGAAAAGGGAAGTTACTGAGGATTACTGTGCTATAGTAATTACATGTCCATTGCTGGGCCAGAATTGCTGGGAGGATCTAACGGAAAAATGAATAAGAGAAATAGCTTGTAATATAAAGTAGAATTTGCCATGATGGGCAAACATCTTCCAGAATCTGCCTAGCCCTACTAGGGAGAAGAACAATAGTTTGGTTACCCTTTAGAATTAACAGATAGAAATCCTAATCATATTCTACTCAAAGGTATTCCACTAGGCCCTCTTTTTTTTTTTTTTTTGGTAAAGCAATTGGGGTTAAGTGACTTGCCCAAGGTCACACAGGTAGTACATGTCAAGCGTTTGGTCTGAGGCCGGATTTGAACTCAGGTCCTCCTGACTTCAGGACCGACGCTCTATCCACTGAGCCACCGAGCTGCCCTAGGCCCTCTTAATTTGCTGTGTGCTGTGCAAACTTCTTGCCTAAAATTAATACTGAAATTTTCTGGCATTTCAGTCAATTCATCTATATATTCCTGTCCAGCTGAAATGAGCCTGTCAATTTATTTGCTAGACGAAATTACAGTAACACAGGTTGACTTTTAACTGGAGACATATCCCACAAAACCAAGACCACACAGGTGTCACTTCAATAGCAACAACTCATTTTGGTTTTTTCATTTGTCTTTTCTATCAGATTCTTTACTTATACTATATTAAAGATTTCTGGAATGGCTTTCCACTTTAGTTAAAAGTTTCCCAAACGAGGTGGGTAAACAAATCATATCAATTAAGTAAACATTTCCCTCAATTCAACCAACAATTATCAAGTTATTATGTGTAGTTTACTGTGCTAGGCAACAGATAAGAGTGATACAAGGAGTTTACAACCTGACAAAAGGGCAAGACAAATGCTAATTATCAATCCAGTCTTGTGGCAAGTAATTCAAATACAGATTGTTTTTCTCTGTATTTGTACTGTATTTATACTTTAAGTATAGACCCAAGAAGAGATCCAAACAGAGTGGTCTGAGGCAGTCAAAGAGACTGCTTATAGTTGGAGGGCTTGAGGAAAACTTCACAGGGATGGAACCAGAGTAGGATTTGAAGGAATGAAAGGACTTCAACAAGTAAAGTCTACAGTAGTGGTAGTGAAAAGAAAAGAGCAGAGCATTACTGCAGGTATGGGTAAGTTCATACATAAATGCAGAGAAGCATGGGAGATCTAGATGGATTAGGAAATTTATGGTAAAGAGTTTGATTTGGCTGGGACATAAAGGATAGCAGCATGCAAAGTTTGTGTTTTATTCATTAAACAACAAGGAATCAATGCAGGTTTTTGAAAAGAGGAGATTCATGATCAGACCTATGTATTAGGAAGATTATTCTGGAAGTGGTAAGGAGAGATTGAAATAGTGATCAGAGGCAGGAAGACTTAACTAGTTTATTAAAATTGTCCAAGTGAGAGGTAATAGGGCCTGAAATAAGGTAGTGGTAGTAAGAGTGGGGA